TTCCTGTTTATAATATATCTGTGTTATTCCATACCTGTGTTCGAGTTCTTCTTTATTGGTTCTAGCTTGGACTATCACTGTGATACAAGGAACCGGACCATACACTATCTATCTATCTATCTATCTATCTATCTAGATAGATAGATAGATAGATAGATAGATAGATAGATAGATAGACTGATTGTGTCCTGCAATGCCCACTCTCTCTATCATAACATTACACCCTATGCTTGTGCAATGTGTGCCACATCTCAGATTATGCTAAATTATTTTTCTTTTTTTATCTAAATTTCACTATCACCTAGGTGCATGTTGGCCGTTGGCACCGATAAGAAACTAATATACTCTTTGCCAACCCTAATAGTCTGGTTTCGATTCAGAATTTTCCTTCTCCTAGACTGATTACCAACCAAGGTTGTATGACCCGGTCTTTGCTGCTATCTAATTCATAGCTGGGAAGGAGAAGAAATAGATTCATATCTTTCTCAATAGTATTTGTGCTAAGTGAATATTACGAATTCGACCATAATTCGAAATCGGCTTACAATACATGGTACAGTGTAACCCGGATATAAGAGAGTTGTCGGGATCGGAGAAGAAGTCTCTTATATCCGGGTTTCTCTTATATCCGGGTTTGGTCTATTTTATATACATTAACACAGGCTCTAATTTGCGACCAGAGAAAATCTCTCTTATATCCGGGTTTCTCTTATATCCGGGTTTCTCTTATATCCGGGTTACACTGTATTTCCAAGCTAAGTCTCAACGTTGCTCACCTATCTCGGTCTTAATGTTGGTATACTTCTTTCACAGGAAAAAAAATATCTGATCCGGGTTTAAACCACTCAGTCACAATAAGCGCAGCAGCTGGGCGTGGTTCAATTAGCCTATTAAAGAATGCACATCTAATTCAGAACTTCCGGAAAATCCATGTCTGCTATTTTTTTTTCGTCTCCGAAACGGAAAACAAAATTATTTCGAGGAACCAATGGAATTTTTTATCCGACATTATTCTCTCCTCCTACTTCGAACGTTATTTTGTGGACGCCCATGTTTGTGTAGACGCCTTTTTAAAACAATATGAATCACGTCTACCGGCCTGTACTTTTGAGAGATTTAAGGGTTTGAACCAAGTGAGAACATTTCCTATATTAAGTCTCTCCAATTCGTAGTCCGGTAGACATGATTCACACTGTTTAAAACAAAAAAATAAAAACAGGGCGTCAACTCAATTAAGGGCGTCCACAAAATAGCGCATGGGGCAGTAGAAAATAAAGTCGGTTAAAAAAGCCAATGATAAAGTGATAAAGAGTGTTTTATATAATAGTTATAAGCCAATTCGTTTCCTTAATCTCAAAAATCAAGTATTGCACAATGAAAATTAATTTCAATTAAAATTAACCCCATCACTGTAGTGCGTATATAATTTGTTAAACAAAACAAAATAGATAAACGGTGCCTATTGTAGTCGATTTTTTTTCTCTGACAGACAAATTAATTTCCGTGTGCTATGAAATCTATAATAAAAAAAAAGCATACACGACCACAAACATTTCCCGTAGATTCACTTGTCTAACAAAAGTGCTATATAGCAACACTTGATACAGATATACAAGTATTGTAAGAAAATCCCAAGATGATAATATAATATTTGATAGAATAACATACTACACAATGACTACAAAGTTTAGAATCTGTTCATTCTAGTTTAGAACAATCATTAATTAAAATGGAACATACAATCTAACCGGTATTTGCATAATCAGAACCTTTATAACGCAGCATATACGCGACATTATATATTTAAATTTAAATATATCACATTGACGCGATGTCAAATACATTCAAACATTAAATATATCTATGTATCATATTTAAAACTTGAGGTAAAAATAACCATACAGAGGCCGGTCGGAAGATTAAAATCTCTATCTATAAAAGGCAGGATGTGTGTGTGTGTGTGTGTGTGAAAATATATAAAAAAAAATTACCAAAAATCACTAGCAATACATTTTCATAGTAAAGAAAATAATAAATTATCAGCAATAGATTATTGGGAAAATATTACGAAAGCTCATAAGAAAATAAAATGCTGGCATTAAATGATTCATAAAGATTTGTTATATCATTAAAAAACTAGCATCACAGATCGGTACTATTTTCTTTCACTCCGATGAACTTTTCCTGTTTCTTAATAATTTGCTTAGGTTTTGAAAAACATCTTTTTGCCAACCCAAAGCACCTTCGGATTTCGGTGTCACACTTTATTCTGCTTCATTATTATTTTGGTTCGTAGTATTTTGCAGCAAAATTCATTTTTCTAAATCTTTCGCAATATCGTTGGAAGACAGGATTTAAGTTTTTCTTTCCTCGCATCCAAATTACAAACGCAGCATCGAAGCACCTGCTGTAGAAGACAAACATTTGAGAAATAATCGGGTACGTGATCTCTATCTATAAAAGGCAGGATATGTGTGTGTGTGTGTGTGTGTGTGTGTGTGTGTGTAATGAATTTTTGACAGATTTGCACCAAAATTTACATGCACATGCTCTAAGTTAGCGGGAAGGCCAAAACCGACTTTGCATTTCCCAACTCCCATCGATAATGGAAATAATCGATTTTTTCATGCTTCTACGGCAGTTTTCATGTAGTTTGCGGCCATTTTCTACTGGCCAGAGTGAGGGCCTATAGCTGGCTGCCATGAATAGGCAGGAAGATTCTATTGGCCAGCGTGAGAGCCAACAGCTGACTGACACGAATATTAACTAGCATGCAAAAAATCGATAGCTGCATTCGTCACAAGTGGGAAAAATTTTAATCTGCATGGCACTTTACTCCAATTGGCTCATTCGCTTGCTTAAACTCAACGTTGATTCTGATTCCGCAGAACTGTGTTGGGTGTGAAAAAGTATTTGTTGTTAACATTCTTTTTTCATTCGGTTTTTCCAGTTCCGAGTCCTTTTTTAAAGCTGATCGTTTTGTGTACATTTTGTTTAGTTCTTTTTTCGTAACAGATTTAATGTTTAGTATAGAGGTTAGAAAAAATTCGCAGTGTGAGATAGGCAAGAAGTAAGACATGTAGCACGGCAAAGGGCACTCTTTTAAAGGCAAAAATATTTTAAGTCAAGTGATAGCGATTGCTGTATGAGTCGTACGATTTTTGAATCAAGCACGGGCAACATCGGGCCATGCTGCTAGTATTTAATAAAAATACATGAACTGTCGACCGTTCTTTTATAATAACAATCCCGAAATTGATCCGGTATTTAGAGAAAATATGTTAAAATGTTAGAATCAGAATTTGTTTAATTTACTTTAAAAATGATTTAATGAACAAATGCTTCATAAACACATTCAATATAAATATATGTATCTGAAAATTTTTCATCATATTTTTTCTATTTAAAACAATATTTCATATTTCATATTATTGCGCTCATCTTCAGAATCAATAATTTGATTAGACATCCATAAACAATATTTATCTTTTCATGGTCATTGTCAAAATTGAATCACAGTTTTTCGTAAAGAAACCAGTTCTTTGTTGTCTGCTTCCAGTCGATGATTTCGCATTGGCTTTATTAGGAAAGAATTGACAAAGAATGAGTAACTGAACATCCGTCTCGAAGAAGTTACTTCCTGGAGTTCTACTTCAGTTAATATGAGAAAAAACATAAAGTGACACCTTCACACCAGCTGTATTGCCGTTGACAGTTGTGACAGTTCATATATGAGATTTTATGCGGCTTTTAAAATTTTATAAAAATCTGTACCTCATATAATTTGCTTGTTAAAATAAATACCACAAATATCCATCAACCATTAACGTAAAACATGGATCAAAATGAAAAATCAAAAGACATGTTCAATTTATCCCGGTTTGTGCTGATTAGAATAGTTTTTGTAAATGTCGTTTTTTTTCAGACTGTAAACTTCTTTTTAGAATTCTTTCAAGTAAAATATATTCTTCGACTTTGAGAAGTCTTTCTTCCAAGTTTAACATTCAGAACAAATATGAAAATAGACTTACACCGTTCCAATTAATTGTAAACTTTTTGCAATCTATATGAGAGATGAAGGAACAAGTGTTACAGTTGTTGGCGACACAGAACGAGATATTGAGGTACCGTGTTCGAATTCCGATTGGGTTTGTTAAATTCATTTTTTTTTCACAAATCGCTTCGTGTTATGGTCCGGTTCCTTATACCACAGTGATAGTCCAAGGTAGAACCAATAAAGAAGAACTCGAAGGCGGATATAGTACGAACAATCAGGTTTAGCAGCAATTGTCTGAACGCGACTCTGTTTCGGACTGACTGACAGACTTCTGACGGAGTTCACTCCAGACTTCAGACTGAACAGTATTTAGTCACCCCATCACGAGGGCATCATGTGGCACAAGGCCGGTTTTACGTGGGATCTCCGAGCGTAGCCTCGTTCGGGCTCCTCCCCGCCAAAAGGAAGAGAGTTCAACCGATCAGCCGGTCAGGCGGTCGCCCGACTTCGGACTGAACTCTCTGCTTCCTCTTGAGGCGCAGTATTTATTACGTATGGAATATTCCATTATGTTATTATGGGTAAGGTCCCATAATAATTGGAAAGGGTATGAAACGGTCTCTATTTCTCCAACAATGGTTTATATATCCACATCGACTGGACTTAATTGATTGATTCGTTTTCTACGGCTTATAAACCATTTTCAGGTTATATATATGATTCTGATCTATTGACACACTCATAGCCCGACTGCCTAAATGCTTCGTCTCCTGAGATAACATTGTAAACAATATATTTAGAGTGTAAGAATTTTTTGTGATACTGGTTTAGTGATACAAGTATTAGAAATTAACTCAGAGCTGAGGGTGAAGCGATGGATTCATACCATTACCAAGGTCACTTCCGCGCAAGTGAATATAAGAAACCGAACAGAAGTTGGAACTCGGGTCTACGATTAATGAATTCCGAGTCATTACCCATTGCACCACCCGCACGTTCAACAAACATCACGTGGTTTTCCCAAACGGTCACCCATCTAGGTACTGACCAAGCTCGATGTTGCTTAATTTCTCTGGTAGAACGGGAACATGTGTTTCTACATGATGTCACCGTAATCGTCAGAGTAGATTCTCCAGCCGTGATGGCTTAGGGACACATTACGTTGAAACACCGGTTTGATTAGTAAAACTTGTATCACTAAAACCCCTTATTATCGAAAAGAAATTCATTTCGTGATGTCAACAAACACTCGTTGCCACTTTTGTGATGTCAACGACTACTAGTTTTCACTTTCGTAATGCTCGTTTTAGTAGAGACTTTGTAATCGCAGATACATCTATAGCACGCCGTTGAACAATGCTCTAATAGTACTTACTCGATAATACTCGCGCGAATAGAAATCCACATAGTGATCTAAATAGAGAAATAGTATAGTGAATAGAGTAAGAAATAGCGATCCGAATAGTAATAGAGGATAGACTAGAAATAGCGATCCGAATAGTAATAGAGGATAGACTAGAAATAGCGATCCGAATAGTAATAGAGGATAGACTAGAAATAGCGATCCGAATAGTAATAGAGGATAGACTAGAAATAGCGATCCGAATAGTAATAGAGGATAGACTAGAAATAGCGATCCGAATAGTAATAGAGGATAGAATAGAAATAGCGATCCGAATAGTAATAGAGGATAGAATAGAAATAGCGATCCGAATAGTAATAGAGGATAGAATAGAAATAGCGATCCGAATAGTAATAGAGGATAGACTAGAAATAGCGATCCGTATAGTAATAGAGGATAGAGTAGAAATAGCGGTCCGTATAGTAATAGAGGATAGAATAGAAATGGTGATCCGAATAGTAATAGATGATAGAGTAGAAATAGCGATCCGAATAGTAATAGAGGATAGACTAGAAATAGCGATCCGAATAGTAATAGAGGATAGAATAGAAATAGCGATCCGAATAGTAATAGAGGATAGAACAGAAATAGCGGTCCGTATAGTAATAGAGGATAGAGTAGAAATAGCGGTCCGTATAGTAATAGAGGATAGAATAGAAATGGTGATCCGAATAGTAATAGAGGATAGACTAGAAATAGCGATCCGAATAGTAATAGAGGATAGACTAGAAATAGCGATCCGTATAGTTATAGAGGATATAATAGAAATGCGATCAATTAGACCCACGTTACCTCCCATATATGCGTTTCTTCTATGGTCGCGTAGTCTATTAATTCAATAATGGTATCGCCTGTGTTTTCTCTCTGGTGATCTATGTTTAAATTCATTTGTCGGCAGTGGCACTTTATTCCTATATAACAATTGCGTACAAAATTAATTTCGGCATTTATTAAACCATAGAAGTCGATATGCCGCTAAGCAAATAACAACCAAAATAGCCGTGGTTGGCAAGCCATTATAAGGGAAGTCGTATACGGTCAGACTTTAAATGTATCTACGCTCCGCTCAATATTAGTATAAACTAGAGGCTTGCTCTGTGAGTATTGTAGAAACACAAACAAAACCCAAATGAATGTCAATCGATGAACAATCACATTGATTAGCCGCGTGCCTTCAAGTCGAAACAACTATGATCGCTATGTTTTTAATTCGAATTTCTTGGGACCTTATTGTCAATGTTATTCGTTGATAAAATTATTCATACAAGACATCGTCAACCGTTATCATGGCTGTGTGTTTTGATTTGAAATAAGTTACTTATTATCTTAGTTTTTAAGATAATATTTTGGTTTTAGACAATGTGGTTGGATTAGTTCATTATTAATAAAGAGTGGGTTGATATCTTTTTTTTTTTTTAGGATTAGTTATTAATTATGTTTAAGATGAACACACACACATATATGTGATTGTGTGTGTTTCATTAAAGAGTATTTTTTTTAAATTTTTGGTTCGAACTTGTATAGAGATACTAGTTCAATTAAAGAAGACTGGCAAGGTACTGTGTTTAAGGTTTTTATTTTTAATTTAGCGAGAGAGCGTGGATGAAAGTTAAAGATAAGAGAAAATGAGGGAGTGCATATTTGTGCCTTTACAGTTAAAGTGAACTAAATATTTTACAATCCTGACAAAATGTGGTAGCTTTGGAAATAAAGCGCCCAAAAACTTGTAGAAACAATCATGTATTTATTTTCTGATGAAAATCTTACATTTTCTAAATCCAAAATAATCCTACGTTGTGGCTCGCAAAATATTATGGATAAATTCTGGGACCGTCATTTTTAGAGTCAGACACATTTGAATCAGTAAGTTCCCAGAAGTTGTCTTTGAACCATGTCGAAATTTCAGAAACTGAATCAGATCCTGATGGATTGACTCACTCATGGTCAGACTTGCCCAACGGTTTCATCTGTTGAGATAAAATCGGATGGAGTTTTGCCAAAAGCTGACAACTGCATGGCAAGAACGAATGATAGAGAGTCACAGACGATTTACAACGGCAGCACATGCAAACAAAATAACTAAGATGGAACTGGTCCAAGCCAAAGGAACTGAACGCAGTTGAATTATGGCCAACGTTCGGTGTTGCCACTAAATTTTAAATCATTCAAAGTTAGCTTACATGTGACTAAATCGGCGTGAAGCTTACATTTGAAAACAAAAATTGAATTCACACTAAACAGCTGATTTGAGTCGATTTAGCATTCTGCACGCATGCGCAGGAACACGGATCAGTTTATATATAAATTGCTAAAGTCTTAATTTGTTAAATCTGAAAAAAAAAGCAAAAAATCATTAGACGCTTAAACTTAATTGACATTTAAATCGGTCCAAATTATCGGAACCCTTACTTATAAATGTAAAAGTGGACATTAAAGTCAACACCCAAAGCGATAGTCAAATGCGATCATCAGGCCACGTGGCCTAACGATTGCATCTAGCATGACTGTCGCCTCTAAGTGTTGACATCTATGTTCACTTTTTATATATATATATATATATATATATATATATATATATATATATATATATCCGCCAAAGGAATTAGGAATAAACACGGTAACATGTTTTTTATGTTTATACACTCGCATTCCCACTGCCAAAATAGGATAAAAGAATTCCAGAATGTTATTGGTGCTGAACTGGCATTATGAATTGAGTCGTTTTCTCACCGCTGTAAGGTCGCTTCCCTGTGCCCTTTCTATAACTAATTTAATGGTAATTGTTCGTATGTACTCTTTGCTAATGTACCTAGACTCTCTGCAATTGAACTAGAGACTTGATCTCATCAATTTACAGTTGAGCTGAGTCAACGTAATTGTAAGTTCTGTGCTAACAGTTTCCTTTCTCGCGCCAACGTGTTGAGTCTGAGACCGTGTTGGAAAAGGAATTGAGGCATAATATCAACATAACTAGTGATCACTTCAAACACTTTCGGAATCACCATTAGACTCATCCAGCTCTTTCCAAATCCTCTGCACTGTCCTCAGATTAACACACAAATACACTGAAATGCCCGTATTAGCGCTCCCGTCGTAAATGCCAGGCTATACATATTTCCAGATTTCTGTTGGAGTAAATTCCGTCATGGTGTTTTTTTTTTTTTTATTTCTCACAGACTCTGCCCAACCAACACTACTATAATGTGTATTCGACAAAAAACAAACAGCGCGCATGCGCGAAATTAAAATGGCGACAATTTATTCATCGCACCCACTGTGTATGTGTGTGTGCGTGTGTACGTGTGTGTTGTTATATATATATATATATATATATATATATATATATATATGTGTGTGTGTGTGTGTGTATATATATATATATATATATATATATATATATATATATATATATATATGTGTGTGTGGGTGCGTGTATATAGGTAACTATACTCGTTTCCCTGACGATCCGCTTAGGTGAAACCTGGGTAGGTTTGTATATATATATATATATATATATATATATATATATATATATATATATATCAACGCTGCCGTTTAACTAATAACTGTTGAGAGAAGGATTCGATCTATGCCTTCCCCAAGGATAATTCTACAGAAATGCACGTAACGAAATCCTCTTGAATTCGAACTTCGATCATCGGTATTTTTTCCATGTTGCTAACCTTTATGCTACACGCACTCCCTTAATTACTATGTGAAGTCTCTGTAAGTTTGTGTCCGTGAGGCTATACGATAACTGACAAATTCCCGCATCGGACGTGCAACAGAATTCATATAAATCTTGACCAATTTACGAGTGAAAACCTCGAAATGCAATGCCAGGCTTTTTGCCAAAGAATCGTTTGGGAGAACATTTTTTTGTCTGTGGGGCGGAGGACGTGTCATGGGCATATTGGTTCGATTTGATGGGTGGTCAAGGCGGTATTTCACTTGTAATACGCCAGGAAGTGTTGAAGAAATTCGTGAACAACATCCTTAATGACCACCATGGAACAATCCATCAGCATTTGAACATGACTGGAATCAATTATGGAGTGAGCCACTAGATTCTAGCCTCGGAAATTTCGGGTACATACTCATGACACAACAAATAAGAAAGTACGTTATGCAAGTTAATAGAAGCGCAACAGCTAATAGAAAAACCGAAAATCGAAAATATATATTTATATATATATATATATATATATATATATATATATATATACAAGGAGGCACGGTGGAGTAATGGATAGCGGCTTGGATTCCAGTCGAATCCATCATTACATTCACTTACGTGCTAATACACTTGGGAAAGGTGTAAATCCTCTTCTTTCCCTCCAGCTATGGGTAAATAACAGGACAGACTGGGTGCTATAGCCTTGGATGACAACTGGTCTAGGAGAAGGACAACTCTGTATCCAAAAACCTGCGGAGGGTCGTTTGGGGACCTTCTGCCACTTAGTGCACCAGGTCTCTGTATTCGGCCCTTCAAAATGTGTGGATGGTCCAGCACAAAACTTTCATCACTATAATCAAAATCTCATGTGCTGTTGTCGGCCTGTCAGTTTCCTGGGAACTGATCTGCTTGACACTTATACGACGAATTCGACGGGAGTGTCAAGTATATATATATATATATATATATATATATATTTATATTTAGATTGATGCGAGTTTGTGACTCTGGATTTCATGCTTTTGTGATAGTCAA